ACTCCTAACATAACTAGGGGGCTCAAAATGACTGGGACGCTCTGCCAAAAAAAAACCGCCACCCTAACCCCTAAACCCTAAAACAATAGCTAAGTAGGGGACTCCTAACATAACTAGGGCTCCTAACATAATTAGGGAACATAGCGAAGTAGAAAGATAAAAAAATCAATTTGTTACGGTCAAAATGATAAAAAAAGAAATGGTCTGAGCTGGATTCGAACCAGTGCCCGTCCGTATCCAACCCAGCGTCTTCCCCACTGTGACTGTGCCACCACAATCCTGCTGCCTTATTGATGCTGATTGTCATCTTTATACGTCACTTCATTTCTATATTCCCTGCCGTAAAAATAGCTGTATACAATGAGATTACGGGACCGTAAAAATTAGTCTCGCGTAGCCAGCCCCTCCCTCAACGGGAGGGTCTGGTCGAATGAGTGTACATCATTCGTTCTCCGTGATTAATTAAATAAGTCCGTATTGTGTTTGTTCACCACCGCATACTTTATGCAACACGTGGTTAAATATCTGCTATCTGTTGTTGGCGAGGCTGTTGGAGAGAGCAGGCTACAGTTTTTGTCTGGATGGCTAAACAGCTTCTCTTCTGCTTCTTTTCTCTGCGTTAGTGCCAGAGTTTTTAGCTTGAGTAAGACCATCTCATGTACCACGAGGATTAAGGTAACGCCTACTATAACCACATCCGGTTCACCCTGTTTTGGGGTGAAGTAGAACGAACAATCTACACTCATTCGACCAGACCCTCCCGTTGAGGGAGGGGCTGGCTACGCGAGACTAGTAAAAATAGCCACTACGAAGAAGAAAAAGTCTGAATAATTTTGCACCGTGCTGCGCCGCAGCACGGTGCAAAATTCTGAACTTAAATAATAATGATATTAATAAATTTGAGAAATTTGAGAAATTTGAAAAATTTGAATTCGGGAGAAATTTGAATTCGGGCCTGTTCTCCAGAAAAGCTCCCGCTACATTACAGTCCACTTTAAGGGTACCAGGAGAATCGCTCAGTGAAGGAGAGCTCATCTAAGCCATTTATAAGGCTGTACAACGTAAAATAAAAGAGTTATGAGTGTTTGAAAATCATAATAAAAACGGCCGCCATCTTGAAAAATCCACCTGAATCCTACATATAGGCTACCGCCTATATAATAAGCTTACCAAGTGTACTACTGGTAACAGAAGGTGACATTGTCATACTCATTGGTGTCAGTAGTAGGAGAAGGAACAGAAGTACTAATGATGCCTGCCGTTAGAAGTGAGGGAAGAAGTAGAAACAGTAACAAATGATATAGTAGTTGAAGACACTTCAGTCGCTGAAGTAGAATTTATCACTAAAGTATATGTGACCATAATTGACAAAAGGTACCTTATGGCGGATAGGAAAATTGGTCTTTATAGCCTAAAAATCCACCTTCCTGAGCTCCATTAACCATAAAATTACTACACAGGATGCAAAAAGTTACTATGTAACTTCTACAAACAATGGTTGTCGGGCCAACAGAGCACTCACAGGTTGATATTTTTCATGATAATGATGAATTTAGAAATCCGCCAAAGAAGTACCTTTTGTCAATTATGGTCACATATACCGGTATAACTATTTACAGCAAAACAATGAACAATAACTAACTTATAGTGCATGGTTGATGAGAAATCAGTAGTATCTATTCCTAATACATTACTACCATGCAACCACTCCAACATGCAGTATATACTGATCCTACTGTAGCATCAGGTATATTGTATGTAGTGGTAGGAGCTGGTATTGTTATATTATTAGTGAGATTATTGACATTAGGATATATTATGTAGCTCAATACAGGGAGAAACATAAGGACTAGTGGCTACAGAAAAGTATAAAACATTGCTTACTAAATTTTTCTTACTTCTTCCCTGTTGGAAGAATGTGCACTCAACAATTTCTTTATTAATTTACATTGTACTTTTAATGTTATTATGTAAGAATTACCCATATAGAAATTCCAAGGTTGTAACAACTGGGTCACAACCTCACAAAGTTGTAGTACCCTAGTAGCAACCTTGTATGAAAGTGATAAAGTTGTGAGCAACCTAGTGACCAACCTTGTATGAAAGTGATAAAGTTGTGACTAACATGTAAAAAAAATAATGACCTTGTGACAAGGTTGTCCAAAGGTTGACAGGAAACTGAGGTTTCATTAAGTGTGCCCCACGATGATATGAAGCTATTGCTACCATACATGTATATAAAGGGACCATGACCAGCTCTTATACAAGTCAATAAAGATAACATTAATACACATCCACATCTTTACATTAGCTACATGTATCATAGATACATTAAAAGTATCTATGAATCATTTGAAACTATATGGGATTAGGATGTCAATAATAATTGTGTTGATAGTCTATTTGATTACAGTTATTCTATGAAATTCATTGTATATTGTGAGAAGGTTGTGACAAGGATGTCACAAGCCAAAAAACGTGCCAAATTTAAGGTTTTTACAAGGTTGTGACTAGGTAGTGACAACCTAGTGACAACCAACTTGTTACAAGGTTGCCACAATCATGCTACAACCTTTGTTTTTTTATATGGGTACGGATTGATCACCTTGCAATGTAAAGTAGAATTTGGTCACGAGTAGGATTTTCATTTTGTATTTTTGTTGGTCATTCGGAATCCTACTTAACCTTGTTTTTTAAATTTTTTTAGCCCATGGTTTTTTCCAAAAAATGGCTCCGAAATCACGCCAAATTTTTATTACATTTTCTGATACATATTCATGTCCTTAAGCTGTATAGAAAGTTTGAGGTGATCCCGACTTCAATTTTTTAAGTTACAACCAATTTAATAAAATCTCAAAATTTTGAAAATACCCAAGGCTATAGCCAATGGTTTTTTCTGAAAAATGGCCCCGAAATTACCTCAATTTTTTATTAAATTTTCTGATACATATTGATATCTTTATGCTGTGTAGAAAGTTTAAGCTGATTCCGACTTCAATTTTTCAAGTTACAGCCAATTTAATAAAATCCCAAAATTTTGAAAAATACCCATTAGCCCATAGTTTTTTCCAAAAATGGCTCCGAAATCACCCCAAATTTTTATTACATTTTCTGATACATATTGATATCCCTATGCTGTGTAGAAAGTTTAAGCTGATTCCGACTTCAATTTTTCAAGTTACGACCAATTTAAAAAATCCCGAAATTTTGAAAAGTACCCATTAGCCCATGGTTTTTTCTAAAAATTGGCTCGAAAATCACCCCAAATTTTTATTACATTTTCTGATACATATTGATGTCCTTTAGCTGTATAGAAAGTTTAAGGTGATTCCGACTTCAATTTTTCAAGTTATGGCCAATTT